TAGTTCACCTTTCAGTCCTACAAAAAAATAAATTAAATAAATTCACAAACAAAAGTCAAAGAAACACTTAAAAATCTTACATTAAAGTTACCCTGCGAATGTTTCTAACCCCTATAAAGATCACTAAGCTGCAGGTATAATGTTGAGGACAATAAATGCTAATTTATTTTTATTGCACAAATTATATAGAAACAATAGACCCTTTTTTAACTATAGCAACAAAACCATTTCATTTTGGATTAACATGGAAAGATGGACCAAACCCACAAAATTACACCTCCAGAATCTATTTCTATATGAAAACATTTTGCATATAACGAAAAAAAATAATTGAATTCTAACTGAATTTGACATATATTTCTAATCTCTGATGAGAAATAAAAAGACATGTGTGAATAGTTAATGGAATTACCCCCAACTATGCAGTAATCTTAAAATGAACTTTCACCTGTATTAAAACGTTTTGCTTTTTTTCTTTTATTTGTTCGTTAGAATTGGACGATTTTTTTTTTCCTTCTCTTCTTTATTATTTATTTATTAAATTATTTAATTGTGTTTAAGTTTGGTGTTTAAATACCTAACTATGGCTCCGTTATGCACATGAATATATATTTATATTTACAGTTATTAAATAAAGTTTAGGGGAAAAAAGGAAAGCGCATGGACAAAAAAGAAAAAAAAAGAAAACGGAACTTTGCTCCAAACAGGAACTGGGTTGGAAACACTTTCGTCCTCCGTGATTTGTGTAGATTAGAATAATCTTCGGTCCAAACAGGTGAGTGATTTTACTAGATTAACTTTCGTTTAACAGGAGGGATTGTTTACTGCCAGGAAAAACCGCTGCTGATGGTTTTAGTTTTGTTTTTGGAAAAAGGTTGAAACACGAGGCGGATGTTTAGTTTTGGTTCTGGAAACGATTAAAAGCGGAAATTAAACCGTTTTTAATCTGTTCAAGTTTAAAACTACAGAATAAAATGATTGTTTTCTACTTTCGGCTACGTTAGATGACCGATGAAATGAAAAATAATAGCAAAAATATAAGCGCTATACAGTTTGTTCGAATGGAGTTGCCATATATTGACGTCATAAGAAGGGGCGGGCCCCCCAGCAGGTCTTATCGGGAAGCAGCCATTAGCATTACCGCGCAGAAGAAGAAGTTGTCACCCTAGCTGTTGTTGATGTCCCAGGTATGTGAAGCTCTGACTTCCACGCCATCTTTTTCCCGGTGTTGTATGAATTTCTGTTCCCCGTGTGTCGGGAGCGCGCATTGAAGCCAGACATTTTAACGGCGTTTCTGATTTATTTCTCGCAACAACAAAAAATAAATAAATAACTCCTATAATCATGTCACTGTTGTAACATCCAGCTGCTGCTGTTTACAAAATTGTAAAATAAACAACTTAATAAACGAGGTCATTTAAAGCTGGTTTGTGTTGTTTTTTTAACGCAACTTCTGTCACTTAAACCTTACAGAAATATAATTCAGTCACCAAACAGTTTTCCATAACCTAGCGAGTATTTATCATTTTTCTTTGCTGATATCAGAGGATGGAAACTATGGAGGACCAACTCTGCCATGTTTAAAAATAAATACAGAAATAAATAAATAAGCATACAATTAATTGCCACCAAAAATACATTAAACAAATAAATGTTAGTAGAAATTAAATTATACAGTAAGACATAAATGTATATAACTCTTTTAATTAGCTTCTTTATTTGCCTTTGTAATATTTACCTTATTTATTATTTCGTCTTTTATAATCTTCAACATTATTTTTTAATTAATTATATTTTTAAGTATTTATTTATGTGCATGTTATAATATTTTTGTCTGTTTTATTCTTCCTTTGTATTTTTTTGTCCCTAGTTATTTCTCCACCGCTATTTATTTCTGCCCTTTTTTTTACATTTCTGCCTCAGTATGCAAATGAGGAGGGGGCGTGTCCTAGAGAGTCAACTTCTGCTCATTGGGTTCATGTCGTTCCTGCTTCGAGCCCGGCCCCCCATTTTAGTTTATAAACCTAAATATAATTGTTAACTAGACTTATTATCTTTTTAACTTTACCTTTAACTTTTCAATTAGCTTTTTGCCTTTTTTCTTGACTTAAGTCTTGACTTAATTTCCAGTAGGTAATCTATCATTCGATGGCTCATCTAATTGGTCAAATGCCAAAATAAGATGCACAGTCATGTAGCAGTATCTTTGCTTAATGGCTGGATATAGATCTTGTGCTTCTAGACCTCACTGAGGGATGGGAGGGGCTCCATTTGTAAGAGATATACAAGCAATCAAAAACGGTTACTTATGTAATTCAACATGTTTTAAATGATGACGCTTATCTAAAATGTTTGTGCCATCTATAGTTTCCAGGAGCAGAAAAGATGTCTGTGACCATGAGCAAGACCGAGGGGGTGACTGTGTTCACCCTGACCTCTGACCCTGATAGCCCCTGGCCTCCTCTGTGTCAGATCCTGAAGAGCCTGTGCTACAGCCCGGTGGGCTGCTCTGTGTCCCAGAAGCTGAGGACAACCCAGAGGACGTCTCTGTCTGTGCTCGGGGTGAGCTGCAACCTTTCCTGCTTCAGATGTTCGGTTCATTTCGTTTTGTCTAAATTTAACAGAGTTTGTAAGAAATGGGATATAGAGTATGAGGTGCCACCAGGGACATAAATCAGAATTAACTTGCATATACACATATTGCATTGAACTCTTTCATATAACATACTGAAAAAAAAGCAGAAACACTAGTGAAAAGCTCTCACATAAACTAGTGAAAACATTTACCTCTCATATAACCTACTAAAAAGCTCTCATACAAAGTAGTGATAACTGTTCATATAAACTGGTGAAAAGCTTTACTTTTCATACTCACTACTAGAAAGCTTTCATACACATTACCAGAAAGCTTTCATACACATTATTAGAAAGCTTTCATACTCACTACTGGAAAGCTTTCATACACACTACTAGAAAGCTTTCATACACATTACCAGAAAGCTTTCATACACACTATTAGAAAGCTTTCATACTCACTACTGGAAAGCTTTCATACACACTACTAGAAAGCTTTCATACTCGCTACTAGAAAGCTTTCATAAACA